GCAAAGGACATTAACTCATCTTTTTTTAATGGCTGCATAGTATTCCATGGTATATATGTGCCACATTTTCTTTATCCAGTCTATCATTGATGGGCATTTGGGTTGGTTCCAACTCTTTGCTATTGTGAAGAGTGCTGCAATAAAAATACCTGTGCATGTATCTCTATACTAGAATGATTTATAATCCTTTGGGTATATACCCAGTAATGGGATCGCTGAGTCAAATGGTATTTCTGGTCCTAGATCCTTGAGGAATTGCCACACTGTCTTCCACAATGGTTGAACTAATTTACACTTCCACCAACAGTGTAAAAACATTCCTATTTCTCCATATCCTTTTCAGCATCTATTGTTTCCTGACTTTTTAATGATCACCATTTTAACCGGCGTGAGATGGTATCTCATTGTGGTTTTGATTTGCATTTCTCTAATGACCAGTGATGAGCTTTTTTTCATGTTTGTTGGCTGCATAAATGTCTTCTTTTGAGGAGTGTTTGTTCATATCCTTTGCCCACTTTTTGATGATAAATTTGTTTAAGTTCCATGTAGATTCTGGATATTAGCACTTTGTCAGATGGATAGATTGCAAAATTTTTTTCCCATTCTATAGGTTGCCTATTCACTCTGATGATGGTTTCTTTTTCTGTGCAGAAGCTCTTTAGTTTAATTAGGTCCCATTTGTCAGTTTTGGCTTTTGTTGCCATTGTTTTTGGTGTTTTAGTCATGAAGATTTTACCCATGCCTGTGTCCTGAATGGTATTGCCTAGGCTTTCTTCTAGGGTTTTTATGGGTTTTGGTCTTATGTTTAAATGTTTAATTCATCTTGAGTTAATTTTTGTATAAGGTGTAAAGAAGGGGTTCAGTTTCAGTTTTCTGCATATGGCTAGCCAGTTTTCCCAACATCACTTATCAAATAGGGAATCCTTCTCCCCTTGCTTGTTTTTGTCTGGCTTGTCAAAGATCAGATGGTTATAGATGTGTGGCATTATTTCTGAAACCTCTGTTCTGTTCTATTGGTCTATATATCTATGTTGGTACCAGTACCATGCTGTTTTGGTTACTGTAGACTTGTAGTTAGTTTGAAGTCAGGTAGCATGATGACTCCAGCTTTGTTCTTTTTTTCTTAGGATTGTCTTAGCTATTTGGGCTCTTTTTTGGTTACATGTGAAATTTAAAGTAGTTTTTTCTAATTCTATGAAGAAAGTCAATGGTAGCTTGATGGGGATATCATTGAATCTATAAATTACTTTAGGCAGTATGGCCATTTTCACAATATAGATTCATCCTATCCATGAGCCGGAAATGTTTTTCCATTTGTTTGTGTCTTCTCTTATTTCCTTGAGCAGTGGTTTGTAGTTTTCCATGAAAAGGTCCTTCATATTTCTTGCAAGTTGTATTTCTGGGTACTTTATACTCTTTGTAGCACTTGTTAATGGGAGTTCACTCATGATTTGGCTCTCTATTTGTCTATTGTTGGTGTATAGGAATGCTTGTGATTTTTGCACATTGATTTTGTATCCTGAGACTTTGCCAAAGTTGCTTATCAGCTTAAGGGGATTTTGGGCTGAGATGATGGGATTTTCTAAATATACAATCATGTCATCTGCTAACAGAGACAATTTCTCTTTACCTATTTGAATACCCTTTTTTATTTGTCTTGCCTTACTGCCTTGGCCAGAACTTCCAATACTATGTTGCATACGGGTGTTGAGAGAGGGTACCCTCGTCTTCTGCTGGTTTTCAAAGGGAATGCTTCCAGCTTTTTGCCCTTCAGTATGATATTGGCTGTGGGTTTGTCATAAATAGCTCTTATTATTTTGAGATACATTCCATCAATACCTAATTTATTGAGAGTTTTTAGCATGAAGGGGTGTTGAATTTTATTGAAGGCCTTTTCTCCATCTATTGAGATAATCATGTGGTTTTTGTCTTTGGTTCTGTTTGTGTGATGGATACTGTTTATTGATTTGCATATGTTGAGCCAGCCTTGGATCCCATGGATGAAACCAGCTTGATTGTGGTAGATAAGCTGTTTCATATGCTGCTAGATTGGTTTGCCATTATTTTATTGAGGATTTTCACATCAGTGTTCATCAGGGATATTGGCCTGAAGTTTTCTTTTATTTGTTGTGTTTCTGCTAGGTTTTGGTATCAGGATGATGCTGGCCTCATAAAAGGAGTTAGGGAGAAGTCCCTCTTTCTCTATTGTTTGAAATACTTTCAGAAGGAATTGTACCAGCTCTTCTTTGTACCTCTAATAGAATTCGGCTGTGAATCCTTCTTGTCCTGGGCTTTTTTTTTGGTTAATAGGCTATTACTGCCTCAGTTTCAGAACTTGTTATCAATTTATGCAGGGATTCGACTTCTCTCTGTTTTAGTCTTAGGAGCGTGTATGTGTCCAGGAATTTATCCCTTTCTTCTAGATTTTCTAGTTTATTTGCATAGAAGTGTTTATAGTGTTCTCTGATGGTAGTTTGCATTTCTGTGGGATCAGTGGTGATATCCCCTTTATCATTTCTTATTGCATCTATTTGATTCTTCTCTCTTTTTTTCTTTATTAGTCTGGCTAGCAGTCTATTTTGTTAATCTTTAAAAAAAATGGCTCCTGGGTTCATTAATTTTTTTTTTTTTTTTTTTTTTTTTGAGACGGAGTTTCGCTCTTGTTACCCAGGCTGGAGTGCAATGGTGCAATCTCGGCTCACTGCAACCTCCGCCTCCTGGGCTCAGGCAATTCTCCTGCCTCAGCCTCCCGAGTAGCTGGGATTACAGGCATGCGCCACCATGCCCAGCTAATTTTTTGTATTTTTAGTAGAGACGGGGTTTCACCATGTTGACCTGGATGGTCTCAATCTCTTGACCTTGTGATCCACCCGTCTCAGCCTCCCAAAGTGCTGGGATTACAGGCATGAGCCACCGCGCCCGGCCCATTGATTTTTTTTGAAGTGTTTTCTGTGTCTCTGTCTCCTTCCGTTCTGCCCTGATCTTAGTTACTTCTTGTCTGCTGCTAGCTTTTGAATTTTTTTGCTCTTGCTTCTCTACTTCTTTTAATTGTGATATTAGGGTGTTGATTTTAGATCTTTCCCACTTTCTCCTGTGGGCATTTAGTGCTATAAATTTCCCTCTAAACACTGCTTTCGCTGTGTCCCAGAGATTCTGGTACATTGTGTCTTTGTTCCCATTGGCTTCAAAGAATTTATTTATTTTTGCCTTAATTTCATTATTTACCCAGTAGTCATTCAGGAGCAGGTTGTTCCGTTTCCCTGTAGTTGTGCAGTTTTGAGTGAGTTTCTTAATCCTGAATTCAAATTTGATTGTACCGTGGTCTGAGAGACTGTTTGTTATGATTTCCGTTCTTTTGCGTTTGCTGAGGAGTGTTTCACTTCCAATTATGTAGTCAATTTTAGAATAAGTGTGATGTGGTACTGAGAAGACTGTATATTCCATTGATTTGAGGTGGAGAGTTCTGTAGATGTCTATTAGGTCCACTTGGTCCAAAGCTGAGTTTAAGTCCTGAATATCCTTGTTAATTTTCTGTTTCATTGATCTGTCTAATATTGACAGTGGGGTATTACAGTCTCCCACAGTTATTGTATGGGAGTCTAAGTCTCTTTGTACGTCTCTAAGAACTTGCTTTATGAATCTGGGTGTTCCTATACTGGTTGCATATATATATATTTAGATTAGTTAGCTCTTCTTGTTGCATTGATCCCTTTACCATTATGTAATGCTCTTTGTCACTTTTTTTATCTTTGTTGGTTTAAAGTCTGTTTGATCAGAGAGTAGGATTACAACCCCTGCTCTTTTTTCTCTTTCCATTTCCTTGGTAAATATTCCTCCATCCCTTTATTTTGGGCCTATGTGTTTCTTTGCACATGAGATGGGTCTCCTTGAATACAGCACACTGATGGGTCTTGACTCTAACCAATTTGACAGTCTGTGTCTTTTAATTGGGGCATTTAGCCCATTTACATTTAAGGTAATATTGTTGTGTGTACTTGATGCTATTATTATGATGCTAGCTGGTTATTTTTCCAGTTAGTTGATGTGGTTTCTTCATAGTGTCAATGGCCTTTACAATTTGGTATGTTTTTACAGTGACTGGTACTGGTTTTCCTTTCCATATTTAGTGCTTCCTTCAGGAGCTCTTGTAAGGCAGGCCTGGTGGTGACAAAATCTCTAAGCATTTGCTTGTCTGTAAAGGATTTTATTTCTCCTTCACTTATAAAGCTTAGTTTGGTTGGATATGAAATTCTGGGTTGAAAATTCTTTTCTGTAAGAATGTTCAATATTGGCCCCTACTCTCTTCTGGCTCATAGGGTTTCTGCAGAGGGATCCACTGTTAGTGGATAATATCCTGAAGAGTGTTTTCCAACTTGATTCCTTTCTCCCCGTCACTTTCAGGTACACCAATAAACATAGGTTTGGTCTTTTTACATAGTCCTATATTTCTTGGAGGCTTTGTTAATTCCTTTTCATTGTTTTTTTCTCTAATCTTGTCTTCATGCTCTATTTCATTAAGTTGATCTTCAATCTCTGATCTTCTTTCTTCTGCTTGATTGATTTGGCTATTGATACTTCATGAAGTTCTTGTGCTGTGTTTTTCAGCTCCATCAGGTCATTTAAGTTCTTCTCTAAACTGGTTATTCTAGTTAGCAATTCCTCTAACCTTTTCTCAAGGTTCTTAGCTTTGTGCATTGGGTTAGAACATGCTCCTTTGCTCAGAAGAGTTTGTTATTACCCACCTTCTGAAGCCTACTTCTGTCAGTTTGTCAAACTCATTCTATGTTCAGTTTTGTTCCCTTGCTAGTGAGGAATTGTGATCCTCTGGAGGAGAAGAGATGTTCTGGTTTTAGAATTTTCATCCTTTTTGAGCTGGTTTTTCCTCATCTTCATGGATTTGTCTATCTTTGGTCTTTGATGTTGGTGACCTTCAGATGGGGTTTCTGTGTGGACATCCTTTTTATTGATGTTGATGCTATTCCTTTCTGTTTGTTAGTTTTCCTTCTAACAGGCTCCTCTGCTGCAGCTATGCTGGAGTTTGCTGGAGATCCACTCCAGACCCTGTTTGCTTGTTTTCTTGAGTGTCACCAGTGGAGGCTGTGGAACAGCAAAGATTGTTGCCTGTTCCTTCCTCTGGAAGCTTCATCCCAGAGGGGCAACCACCAGATGTCAGCCAGAGCTCTCCTGTATGAGGTATCTGTCAACTCCTGCTGAGAGTTGTCTCTCAGTCAGGAGGCACGGGGATCAGGAACCCACCTGAGGAGGCAGTGCCTTTGCAGAGCTTGAACACCATGCTGGGAAATCCATGCTCTCTTCACAGCCAGTAGGTAGGAACGTCTAAGTCTGCTGAAGCTGCACCCACAGCCACCCCACCCCAGGTGCTGTCTCCCAGGGAGATGGGAGTCTTATCTGTAAGTCCCCAACTGGGGCTGCTACCTTTTTTTCAGAGATGCCTTGCCCAGAGAGGAGGAATCTAGAGAGGCAGTCTGGCTACAATGGCTTTGCAGGGCTGTGGTGGGGCTCTCCCCAGTTCAAACTTCCCCCTTACCGGGGGCTTTGTTTACACTGTGAAGGGAAAACTGCCTACTCAAGCCTCAGTAATGGTGGATGCCCATCCCCCCACCAAGCTCAAGCCTCCCAGGTCAGCTTCAGACTGCTGTGCTGGCAGTGAGAATTTCAAGCCAGTGGATCTTAGCTTGCTGGATTCCATGGGGGTGGAATCCACTGAGCTAGACCACTTGGCTCCCTGGATTCAGCTCCCTTTCCATGATAGTGAACAGTTCTGTCTTACTGGCATTCCAGGTGACACTGGGGTATGAAAAAAAACTCTAGCTTGCTGTCTGCCCAAACAGCTGACCAGTTCGTGCTTGAAACCCAGGTCCCTGGTAGTGTAGGCAATCAAGGGAATCTCCTGGTCTGCGGGAGATTGCAAAGACCATGGGAAAAGCATAGTATCTATGCCAGATACACAGTTCCTCAAGGCACAATCCCTCACAGCTTCCCTTGGGTAGGGGAGGGAGTTTCCCAACCCCTTGTGCTTCTTGGGTGAAGCGATGGCCCACCCTGCTTCAGCTCAGCCTCTGTGGGTTGCACCCACTGTCTAACCAGTCCCAGTGGGATGAGCTGAGTATCTCAGTTGGAAATGCAGAAATCACCCACCTTTGGCATTGATCTCACTGAGAGCTGCAGACTGGAGCTGTTTCTATTCAGCCATCTTGACAGCCACCAGGTATTTCTTTGTAGCAGTGTGAAAACAGATGAATACAGTGCCCATTTAAATTTCTGGAGACTATCTTTCAAAAGTATCTTGAGCTGTTATTTCATTAATTATGTTGCGGGGATTTTTCTAAGAGTCAATAGTCAATGCATCCTTCTATGACCCTTTCTGGTAGCTAACAACAAAATCCTTATATTGAGAGGTGTGTGTGTGTGTGTGTGTGTGTGTGTGTGTATGTGTGTGTGTTGGCAGTCAAGAGTGCATCAGAATTGCCTAAAATATAAAGCAAGTTGCTGACATACAAATGTAAAAGGAGAGGTGCTGGTAGAGAGAAGCTCATCAGAATTGAGAGGAAACTAGAACCAGGAAAGGAAAGATGGAAATAGACGAGGAAGTGAGCCAGCCATCTTTTTGAATGTGGATTACTTGTTTAAAAGAACTATGGAGGAAGAAGTCACTGCAACTTCCGGGAGGGGCTTGTACGCTTAGTGCGGGAGCTGCGGGGCCCAGAGATCGTGTTTGAAGTAGCGGTTCTACCAACATGTCCCGTGGTTCCAGCGCTGGTTTTGAGCGCCACATTACCATTTTTTCACCCGAGGGTCGGCTCTACCAAGTAGAATATGCTTTTAAGGCTATTAACCAGGGTGGCCTTACATCAGTAGCTGTCAGAGGGAAAGACTGTGCAGTAATTGTCACACAGAAGAAAGTACCTGACAAATTATTGGATTCCAGCACAGTGACTCACTTATTCAAGATAACTGAAAACATTGGTTGTCTGATGACCGGAATGACAGCTGACAGCAGATCCCAGGTGCAGAGGGCACACTAGGAGGCAGCTAACTGGAAATACAAGTATGGCTATGAGATTCCTGTGGACATGCTGTGTAAAAGAATTGCTGATATTTCTCAGGTCTACACACAGAATGCTGAAATCTTAGTTGTTGTATGATTTTAATTGGTATAGATGAAGGGCAAGGCCCTCAGGTATATAAGTGTGATCCTGCAGGTTACTACTGTGGGTTTAAGGCCACTGCAGCAGGAGTTAAACAAACTGAGTCAACCAGCTTCCTTGAAAAAAAAGTGAAGAAGAAATTTGATTGGACATTTGAACAGACAGTGGAAACTGCAATTACATGCTTGTCTACTGTTTTATCAATTGATTTCAAACCTTCAGAAATAGAAGTTGAAGTAGTGACAGTTGAAAATCCTAAATTCAGGATTCTTACAGAAGCAGAGATTGATGCTCACCTTGTTGCTCTAGCAGAGAGAGACTAAACATTGTCCTTAGTCTGCCAGATCCATGATGTCACTTACCTGTGTGTTTGGTAACAGCAAACCAACATTACGGAGATCCCTGGATTGAAAAATGAGCCTCTCCCATTCCTCCTACCGCCGAAGTGGTTAGGACTCTATATAAATAAAAACAGTGCTTTTGGAAAAAAAAAAAAAAAAAGAACTATGGAGAGGAGAGGACTAACTAGAGGAGACTTAACAGCAGCCTGAGGTGGACAGTAGATTCAAGCAGAACTCTCTTGACACTGATTTTGGGTTTAGGGAGCTTCTTGGCTGTGAGAAGCAAAATTTTATCATGGAGAAGGGTCAGGAAAAATACCATGGAACTTCCTGTAACATCAATTTTATTCATTCTGGAGAAATTTAAAATCTTTCTATATCAAAGTAAAAACAAGTATGAGGGAACAGTATATCATTTCAATGGATTTGTTTATTTACTTGTATGTTTTTTAGGTTAGACCTCATGTTTGGAAGCAATTTTGATTATTTAGGCACCATGTTAGGCTTTGCCTCAAGGTTCCAGGGGGCAAGTCTGCAGTTTAGAGATAGTAGAATTTCCCCAAGGTCGTGGACAGGCAAAAGGTTTTAGACTCATATAGCATGATAAGCTTAAACGGCACCTCGAAACTAGCTGAGTCCACAAAAATAATGGGTCCATTTTTTCCTCATCTCATTATCTCTAATATCTTAACTCCCAACTAGAAGAAAGATGTTGTTGCACAAATATTACACATTGGTTTTTCTCTAATAGCTTTACTTGAAGCATCTGAAATAACAAAAAGTATTTATAGCTTTGCAAAAGATAGATTAAAAAACAATCTAATTGTCCTTTTAGGCTGAAAGGGGAGGTTTGATCATGATATTATCTGTATTACTTAGTCCATTAACCAAATGTGTGGCTGCCAAAGCAAACACACAAATAAGCAGACTTTCCTGTCTATAATTTGTTAGATTGTTCCACAAAAGGATTCCAATCTAGTGAACGTTGCTTGTTTGCAATTGACCAGGTAAGAGGGTACTAAATGGAAATGAACATTGAAAGGAAGAATAATTACCTCATAAACTCATTAGGAAAGTACTCTTTGGAATGCAAATGTGAAATAAGGTAGATTTTCACATATACTAATCTCGTACTGAAAGGCAGAACAGTGAACTGTCATTCAAAAGTAAGGAAATAAGCAGGAAATTGCAGTTGAAATAATAAAAATGAATAAAATGGTGTTTAGCTGCGAATTTTTCAAACCATAGAGTAGTGACTAAATTTATCTCCTCTATTGTTTTGTTGTTTGTTTATTTGCTTGTTTGTTTCTAATGTTTCATTGCATTTGGCTTTTATAGAATAGTTTGGGAAAGATAAGTGATTTGGGTTTTTAAAAAGTTGTAAATAAAAGTGATTCAAACTGAATTTTTGTGTGTGGCTCATCCAGTGACTTTATCTTTTAAAAAATACTTACTGAGCACCTACTATGTGCTAGCACTGTTCTGGGAGATGCAGATTTTCTAGGGAACAACACAGACAAAAATGCCTGTGCCCATGAGATAGATGGCTTACTTGGTCTTTGAGGGTTTTTTTTTTAATTGGCTCAGAGAGCACCATTTGGACTCCTCTGTAGAGCAAGTCTATAAAGATTTATTTGTCTTTCTATCTATACACACAAACACACATACACAAACACACACACTTTTTCATTCATACATTAATTAGGTACAAATACATAAGGCTAAGTGAAGGGATACCAAAGGCATAGTGACTGTATCTTGGAATGTAGGGGAATTTTTTTACATCTTCATTTTTTAAAAAACTGACATGACTTGGTATCAGTCCATTTCAAATCAATATATTGTACTACTACAAATATATTAATTGCAGTCTAAAAAATATTGGAATGAGAGATCAGAAGATGGAGATTCCACTCTCTTGCCTTCTCTCATTCAAGGAAATATGTGTATGGCTTATAGCATCTGAAGTTGTGGGCACAAGGGGGAGAAGTGAGCTCATTTTTTTCTCAGGCTGGAAATTTGACTTCCCTCCAGGAATTTCCCAGGAATGAATTGCCTGTTTCATCTTCATCCCTGTGCTGTTTCTGCCATTTGCCTGCCAAACTTGTTTCCTAGTGCTCTGAGGTACATTTCTGAGAATTTAGAGCATAATTAACTGAAGTAGAATTCTGAGGTATATCAGAAAATTTAGATCACATTTAATGGAGATGGAAAACCAAAAGGAGTATGTTCTTCAGCTGCATATTCGATGATACGATGGAGTGCAGTGATTTTATTTTGTCTAAATTCTTGGGAAAAGTATTTACAGAGGCTGTATAATGTGCTCTGCTAGAATGAGGTGAAATGAATGAAGAGCAGAAGCAGCCTCAAATAGCGAAGAAGGATGTGGCACTTTTTGAGGAATGGGAGAGGATTGATATTTTGCAGATTGCCCTATAACTGACATGAACTCCAGGTTTCCAATTATATCATAGGAGAAGCACTATTTCCTGAAAGCACTCATTTGGAGCAATCTGAGCTCCCCTTTTACCTGTGATTTTTTAAATGACACATACACAATAACGGATGGCTTTGTTTTCAAGGATGGCACTAAAGCAAGAAATAAAGAATTATCAAGAGCTGTTAGGGATTTGATTGCTGCTAAGGGGAAATGAAAGAAAAGAATCTGATTGTATTCCAGGAAAATATGTAATGATAGCTAATGCTCTAGTTGGTGTTTTATTTGTTGTGAAATGATGGATGTGGAAAAGACATAGCAAATACTCCACCACCGCTTGTAACAATTTAAGATGTAACAGAGCAAGTTATATTTTTACAGTGGAGACTTTTAAATGTTACTTTTTTTCTTTTAAAGTTGTGTATTTGGGTGGAGTTAAAATTTCATTATCATAGTCCCCAGTATAATAGAAAATACAATATAGACTTTAAGAAGTTGATTTCGTACTTGAATTTTTTTTTACAAACAGCATAAAACATTCATTACATAATTAACTTACAAAAACAGCTAAAGGCTCCAAGGTAAAATAAAATATTTGGATAAAGTATTGTTAAATTTGTATTAAACTTGTTTTTACCATTTCATACATAACTACAATATGAGGTGTTTGGAGAAAATGATGCCAGGGATTATGAATACCAAACTACTAAAAAGTTTTTTTAATCCAGAGATGACATCAGGAGAAATGAGTTCTAGCTCTGGCTATCGAACTCTGTGGGGGAACTCATGAATCCTAGTATGACAAAGAATTATAATATACGTACAAAATCACTATGAATTGATGTCATCAGCACATTTATGATGGCTACCATTACTCTCCAGGACTGTTGATCAACAGTCAAACTAGTTGCCTTACAAAATAGTGAAAGTAAGGAATTCTCCCTTTCTGGAAGAAAAGTCCAGATGTAAACCCCATACCATTCGAGGGCCAGCCTCTTCCTCCCTTTTCTTCTACCCTTTCCTACTTGCAAAATACCATATACTTACCTCCAGAAAATGGTTTCTCTTTTGCCACTTTGCTCGACAGTTTTCAGCCTGAGATGCTGTGCATGCTTCAGTTCACTCTTCTAAGTCCTGACCATCCTTTAAGGTCCAAGGTAAAGTCCTAAGGCCTTTATGAATCCTTGTCTGACCACCTCATAGTGACATCCCCTTCCTTTGAAACTGCCTGCATCAGAACATGACATTTGCATTCTTGTCTTTTCTATGAGTAACCCCTTTTATTTTCACACTTTTACCGAAGAGTGGCTTCTACAGCCCCCAGGAGTCGACCTTGACCCCCTTCTTAGTCACACAGATATGTAAACTATCCATAACCAGGGCTCAGTCTACCTCTTTGGGACTCCTAACCTCTGCTCTGTTTCTCCATTTCTGCTCTCCCAGTTCCCATGATCCTCCTGCCTAGACTGTTGTGGCAGCATCCCTGCCTCCAATACCCTTTCACTCCACTTCTAGAATGAGATCTAGAGACTTTTGCATGGCTCCTCCCCTGATTCCTCCTGCCTGTCTGTTCTTGGTTGCCACCACCCCTTAGATGCCTTATGATGCCCCTGCCACAGATGAATGAATGAATCTTTAAAAAGTAAGCCATGCTATTTAGGCCTTGTTTTTGTCCATGCTGTCACTTCTGGATGAGATGTTTTACCTGTCTTCATCCACTTGGAAAGACTTCACCTTACATACAGCTGTTAGAAATCACCTCAATTTTCTTTTCTTTTTTTTTTTGAGATGCAATCTCACTCAAGATTCATGGCACTCGAGGCTGGAATACCGTGGCACGATCTTGGCTCACTAGAACCTCTGCTTTCTGTATTCAAGTGATCTTCCTGCCTCAGCCTCCTGAGTAGCTGGGATTAAAGGCGCATGCCACCACACACAGCTAATTTTTTTGTTTTTAGTACAGACAGAGTTTCACCATGTTGGTTAATCTGGTCTTGAACTCCTGACCCGCCCTCCTTGGCCTCTCAAAGTGCTGGGATTCCAGGCTTGGGCCACCATGCCCAGCCTCAAATATTTTTTTTAAATAAAACTGTCTCTGGCTACTCCTGGCATGATCATAATTCTGAGCTTGCCCCTCCAGCAGTGAATACTATGGACCTTCATGATTTATTTCACAGCTAAGTTGAGTGGCAACTAACCATTTTTTTTGTAAGAGGCAGACTAAGGGGTGGCAGCAGGATGGTGGGCGGGGGGGGGGCTCCTTTCTAAATGCCCAGGACAGATAATAGGTCTCTAGTAAATATTTACTTGTTAGCTATCTGTGGAGCTAGAAGCTTACCTGTCAACCCTCTCTAGAATAAGCCATGTTTTATAGCATAGCTACAAGGTAGACAGAACAACTACAGGCCAGGTAGCCTGAGATTAAATCAGACTGATGAAGTAGACATATTTGGGATGCCTAGGACAGAGTTATTGAACCTGCCCAGATTCTAAATTCCATGAGGCTGCTATGCTTAAGGTCATCATTTTGTTCCGTGTAAGTCCCAAAGTCCTTAGTACATTGGCCTTCAAGGCCCAGTGTGTTGTGTCTGCCCACCCAACTACCTTTGGTACTGATCATCTTCCAGGTTCTCCCTTTCTGATTCTGCCCGGGCATTCAGCCTCTCAGCTGTTCATTCAGTGAACCAGGACATTCTCAATGGACAGGGCC